TTTTGGTTTATCTTCCTTCTACAATCATTATCTGGAAATTAATGACTCAACTTCAAAGTCACCCTGTAGAGTCAGTCTACTTGACGCAATTTCTTCTCTGATTCTGACTGAGCAAGCCAACTTTGAGAAATATGCACATCGAAAAACATCAGATGCGTACATTTCTTTTTCAATATATGTTTCTGGACGGTGCAAAAGTAGTAGTAATAGTTAGTACACAATGTATAGAACTAGTCAAAATAAATATGAATATTAAAATATAAAAACAAACAAATAATCTACAAACAGTTGAAATCGTGTAAAACACAATATTCCGAGATGGCGTTACAATAAGATTTTTTTATAAGGAACTGCTTAGGTTATATTTAAAAAAATCTGATATCTTTGGCATTTGCTATATCTGTCGGCAAACTTAAAAAAAATGTTTGCCCTTAATACCTTGGAGACTTCATGTATACATTATATATATATATATATATATACAGTGCTTTTCTTTGATGCCCCCTCCCCTTTGATTTTTGAACGAATCAATTCAAAAATTTAAAACTTGGATACCTTCTTTTAGAGTAAAATTGACAGTTGAAAATGATGTTTGTTTTCGTACTGATATTCTTGTCACTGTCAACAAAAAATAACAAAACTTGGATTAATGAAATTGATGTGTGGATACCTTCTTTTAGAGTAAAATTGACGGTTGAAAATGATGTTTGTTTTCGTACTGATATTCTTGTCACTGTCAACAAAAAATAACAAAACAAGTTTTTATCGCTGTTGTTGTGGATACGACAGGGAATTACAATTATTTGTACAGATATGCATGTTAGTGGGTTTGTGTTCAAGTAATTATTAAACGTACCACCATTTTGTAGTAGGCCATGGTATTGGCTTTATATTCTAGGGTTATAAAGTACCCGTCAGGAGCTTCAAAATGATGTGCCACAGGATCCCCGTTTTAATATAATTTTTTTTCAAGATGGCGCCCAGCGGGCATCTTGACATTTGACATTTTCATCTGTCAATTTTACTCTAAAATATGGTATCCAAGCATCAATTTCATTACCTCAAGTTTTAATTTTTTGAATTGGTCCGTTCAAAAAATCAATGGAGAGAGGGACATTAAAGAAAAGCAATGTATATTATTCTAAAGCGACACCTATTTTTAAATCAGAGGATAATACTGATATCAAGAACTTGAAACTAGTGGCAATATTGTCATTCTCCAAATTGCTGCAGACCATATTGCAGAATAGAATTTATTTCGCAGTTCATAGACCTCGGTCCCCTTTTTAGAGTTTTTTTTTTACAAAGAGATGCACAGTAGCAAATTCAACAATTTTTCCTCAGGTCAATATCGAATGTGCCGATCGGCAGGGCCAACTAGATATAGTATAATACTGGTTTTGCTAAGCCGTTCGATAGGGTGGTCCATGACATAATTTCCAATAAACTTTTGCATTATGCATTCTTTAGAGCTGAGAAGGAAGTGTGCGTCAATTATTTTTTTGCATAACCTGCTGCATAATCAAATTGATGCTAATGAGATTGTCAACTGAACGCTAATGTTCCGTCTATTCGAATTCGTACCTTTTTTGTGGCAGGGCTCGTTCAAATTTATTTTTAAAAGCACCCATATATCTGATGTGAGAAACTTTTAATGCCATATCTAATCATTGTGATATACTCGTATAACCCGAAGTACCGGCGCAGCTGTTTTCGGGCGTCATTGAAATAATTTTAAATTTTCATTTGCATTTTATCAAGTGTTGTGCAACGATTTTGGGAAAAATTCCACGAATAATCTTATAAAGCATAGTAGAGTATATTTCAACAGTTGGCGGAGCGTACTCCACTGGGACCAGGGGAGTGACGGGATATTAATGCACAATCTGGCAACCATGTCGCACCCTCAAAAAATGGCTGCTGACAACCACACAAGTCACCGTGTTGTCATTGAATAGCACGGAATTGAACCTTCTTCAGTGTATATGTTTTTTGACTGAGACCAAGGGTTGACGGATCCCAAACATGTGTCACTTGTTGGGGATTTTTAAAATGTAATAATTAGCTGTTGTTCAAATAATGTCTAATTATATAAACTAGAATGTTTACCCGTGAAAAAAGAAAAATATTGCAAATTTCCAGTTTTTTGCAGGTTGCAGGTATATTTGGGTATTTCTTAATCGCTGTAAATATAGTGTGGATGTTTGTTCAGTTCCTGATCAACGAAAAATATTCATCTTTTTGGATGTATGGTTATCAAAAAACCTGAATGGTTTGGTGGAAATATCAATCTAAGGTGCAATAATGGTTCTGAGGAACGGCAAGTAAATGAATGAATGTTTGTAAACGAGCAATAGCTTTGAAATTTGTGGTAGAGTCTGTCATCAAGTAGGTGTTTAATGGCTATCTGTAAGAGGTTTCTGGGAAAAAACATGGAGGTGATGTTAAATCAGTAAAATCGCATATCAATTGAAGAAAATTAATATATACATGAATAAAAAATCAACAATAGTAATTAAAACATGAATTTTATTCAAAAATCAAACATTTCTTTCAATTTTGACTGAACTATATGTAATTTGTTAGTATTCAATAAGCTGGTGATGTTTCAAGGACAAGCAGTCATCTCATACTTTGAGAATATTTTGTTTTCAACATTTCATAGGTATTGGTTGCTGCAATTTGTTGATTGGATGTTGAAGCTCATTCTCTGTATTTGACGGACTGTTACCTTATAGGTGGAGAATAACGGACTGTCAATTTGACAAACTTGGTGAAATCCACCCTACACTTTTCAATTAGAGGACTCCTCCGGTGAAGCAGCTTGCGCTGATTTATTCGGAAAAATCCTATAAAATGCGCGTACTGACCTCTGCGGAGCCATGCTTCACGATAAACGTATATTGCATCGAATCCGCACTCTGACATCTTGGATCGTTGCATTCGTTTGTGCACGTTCCATTGTTGACGCAAAAAATATGTTTACGCTTCCATGGCTTGCTGAGGAACTCCTGCAATGGACTCGGCTCGCAGTAAAGCACGCTCGACCTAAGGTAAATTAATATATGGCTTTAGTTCCGCTCTACTACCCGCGGTATTTGTGCGATTCGAAAAAATTCTATTATAAAGGGTAAATAGCGAGGAGTGTGCTTTGAATAATGTGCCAGTATGTACGTGTGTGGAAATCAAAGGATTTTGAATCCGAGGGAGCTAAACAGTAAATCAAACAGGGCAAAAATCCGGATGTGAACAAGCTAGATAGGCTATTCGTTGGGTGCGCGATGACAGCGCCACCTAGCTGCTGTCAGACTGAAATATGCATGCATGTAGATATTGACGGAAATAGCAAACGTTTTGTCGACTTGGGGTTAGGAACAATTTCAGCTTCCAACTGACTACCCTGTTTCGATTTGACCGTAAGTTGAGAACATGTCCCAAACTGAACGCGCATACGCATTTTAAAAAATTTTCTCCTACAGTCTATGTTCAGTTTTATTTAGATATAAGGCGTACACGGGAAAAAAAGATGAATGTCACCGGCGATGTATAAAAAACTGATTGTCACCGAAACTAGTAGCTACTACCTCGGCTACTACAAGAACATACCATACACCAATCTGCGAAGAAAGAAATAAACGTTAAACAATAATTTTTAAACAGTTACTATTAACTTTGTTTTGTTTGTTCTTTTGAATAATTCTTTTTTTTATTCAATATTTTTTTTGCCCCAATAAAAAAATAGATATAATTCATATTATATAATAGCAGATCGTAAAACCTATCATAGGCATTAAGACGGATAATTAACCCTTAGATTTTCCCGGGTGACGCATATGACGAAAGGCTCATTTCTAACCTCAGTATCACAGAGGAATTTAAATTCAGGCATGGACGCTAACACTTAAAAATGTTTGTAGTCACATTGAGAATCACAAAACAAAAAAATAAAAAGGAATTTAAATTCTGCTTTCACTTTTGGGCTACCTTGTATATCAAAAAAATGTTTCTAATTAAACATTTTCTTCGATTCCTTATAAGAAGAAATCTATGGTACTCCATCAGATCTTTGACCCACATTGTACAAAGAGTCCAGGTGTCTACACTTTTAAGTTCGCTTTTCTCTAAACTTACTTTTTGTCGCATTCATCTTTTTTCCCCGTACCCTTCATATGTTCTAAACATGAACTGCAGATCGTGCTGGAACAAACCTGATACGGACTGTTGTCAAGTTTCAGATGACATCCAAAACACAATTTTACCATAAGGCCCATACTCCACCGTGAGCCCAGTGAGGTGTCCCTAACTATGCAGGCCGCTCCCGGCAAGTGGTGTGATTACCTAAAGTTTATTGAAATCGGCCGGCTTTCCTCCTCACCCTACAATTTTACCGTGGGTGCCTCCAGAAATGTGTTTTGGCCCAAACACCGTCCCTAGTAGACATTAACGACCCCGTGTCCTGCACGACAAATCCGACCTACAGATTTGCGGGTAACATTACTGTGTAGGCAGACATTTTCAGCGCCAGACCCATATCTGGAGAGAAAACTACCTCTTTCGAGAAATAATATCTGTAGGTTATCACTGCCTGAGGACATCTTTATACATTTTCTCCCTTCCATTTAATCCATAATCTATTATTTTCATGGTTTTAAGTAGTACTGAGGAGGTATTACTCGGAACCTCAGTAAGTTCAATTCGCTATAGTAATTAGTTAAGAGAGTCTACAGCTAGACTTCCTTGCTGAACGGGGCTCCTACAATCACGAGCATCATCTGCTGAGGTAACGAAAAGGGAACGATTATGGGCTGGTCTTAGACTGCCGTCGGCGCTACTTCAAAGGAGGAAAGGATGACTGCGGGTACCTACCGTGGTAAATTTTTATAATAACAGAGTCGGATTTCGATTAGCGATCTAGCCTGTAAATCGTTTCCTATTTTGGTACTCAGCAAGTGATCATTTAGTATTGTTCTACCCTTGTTACTGTTCGTCGATATTGTGTTGTTGAATTGTTGTGCTGTAGATACTCTTGTCGGTGTGATTGTTCTTGAGTGCCTTTTTACCAAGGTTGATAATGGACAATAAAAGGCCATATGCGACAATTTTAATTACGAATGCAGTGAGTTTAATTCATGATGAGGACAACAATAGTTTGGAGCAGTTCAACTCTATAATCGCAAAATACATTGGGGTAAGCGAATAAATTATTGCAAGAAGAGGTCATACCATGGAAGATGTGCTGCAGCTGTAGTGAGTTACAATACCGAGCGGCCTGTCTATGTGGTCCAAATACATTTGCGTTCTAAGCTTAGTCCAACCTCGCTTGTCACTAAAATGGAACAAAGATTCAAACGCAAGAATCTTGAAAAGAAACTCAGATCAAAAAAGCAGATATAAAAATAACTAACAATTCGGATAGCAATTCCAAAGAAAATGAATAGTTTTATGGCGAATTCAGTCAAAAACCTGACATTAACTACATTGATTTGGAGGCTGCTAAGCGAACATTTTTAGGGAAACTTGAAAAAAGTGACGACGAGATTTTGCAGATCGAACAAGTCACCAAATCACAGGACTGTACTTTGTGGCGTCTTCAACGTAGGATAAGGTTCACAGCGTCTCAATTTGGTGAAGTTTGTAGAAGAAGGCAGACAACAAGCTGTAAAGTTCTAGTAAAATCCATCATATACCTAACAGAGTTTTCTAGTAAGGCAATAAAAAGGCAATACAAAAATCATTGGACACGGCAGTTCAATCTTGTGGTTTGTTTACTGATCGCACACATCCATTTCTGGCAGCATCACCTCCATCTACCTATTACAGTAGACAAGACATGTACTTAATCCAGGTATAAGCCTACCTGTTTATTGCTTTGCAAAAACTACCTAACTGTTTCCTTTTATTTTGACTGCATAAGTTATTTTTTTATTACCCTCGTTCAATTGTTACCATCTGCCACATGAACCTTGTAAACATAATTGTGTTTATTGACATGAATAAACGAATTTGAATTTGAGTTCTTAAATTTAGTTTAGGAAAGATATAAAATTATTTGAATACATTTTTCCTTAGTCGGAACGCACCGTCACGACACTTGGACTAGCAGGACGAAACGGTAGATGAATTTCGCCCAAAAACCGATTTGCACTTCACAGCTTACGTTTCATTTTTATTATTTCCAAATGAAACTCTTGCAGCGTGCTAAAAACAAAGTCCACAGGGTGAAAGCGATCCACTCTTTCGATTTTATCCACTAGGATCTTTTTAAAATATCAAGAAGTTGAGCACAAATAGTAAGCATTTCAACCCACCATAATTCTTGCGCAAATACAAAATTTTGTAAAAAGCTCTGATAGCACCCTAGGCAATTATGTCCTGCTTATATCCAGAAAAACATCACAAACTGAAGAACGCAAACTGAAGGTAACGGCAAAATGGGTACATTTCACGGGTCATGAAATTCAAATGAAAATGCAGGTATAAAATCTACCAAACTATCATTCTCAAGAACATATTTCCTTGACATATCGATAATTTTAAAGTTCCACGCTAAATTCCCCTATACTTGACTGGAGTGATATCCGAATTTATTCTTCCCTACTGTCGGTTACTTGAACTTCCTGTAACCACTGGGATCAGAAGCTTCTTAATAATAGAACGTGTTTCACTATTTTCAACCCCCCCTTTTAAGCAGTACAATTTTTTTATGTCAATGATTAGGAACCCCTGAAACGTCAAAAACGGAGTATCAGCAATTGTTACTTTTTCTTTTTTGCCCATAGCACCATTGCCACTGGAATAGAACTACAAAGCTTTGGCATACTAGTAACCCCATGCGGGAGTTTCATAAAAATCCGAGCGATAATTTCCAAATTGATGATGAGTGATACAGTTTTTCGTGATGTAGATGTCATATGACTTAAAAAAACGTAACATCTCATTTTAGAAATTTTTCGCGATTACAATACTTCCTCGCCAATGGCGTGGGAAGTAAAACGGCTTTAAAATCGAGGAGTATCAGCAATTCGTACATTGCGCCGCAACGCTTGGGTTGGCAGCACGAAACAGTAGACCAAATTCGTCCAAAAGACGATTTGTAGAGGTTTGCGCGCTTCGAAATTGACGCTTTATTTTTTGATATTTTTGGATGAAATTTTCACAGTGTGCTGAAAACAAAACTGCACAGGGTGCTATAGAGCCACTTTTTCATTTTTTTCACTAGGTTCTTTTTAAAAAAATCGCGAAGTTTAACAGAAGAAGTGCGCACTTCAACCCATCATGAAACTTGGTCAAAAACAAAATTTCAAAAAGTGCTCCTATAGCACCCTGGACAATTATCTTCTCCATATACTGTATGAATTTTATTGAAAAATATTGAAAAATGGAGTGTCAGTTTTGAAGCAGCTGAACCCTTGTAAATGGCTTGAAACTCACTGCGTCGGAGCCGCCTTAAGTGTAAGGGTACCTAAGTTAAACTTTGTCAATTAGGTTTATTCAAACACTATATCTTCTTATTGTTAAGTGTGAGATTCACACATACAAACACAACATACTCACTATTAACCATGTAAATGCATTTAAACATTTCGTCATGGTGGGCAGTGTTGCGCTAAAATGTATACCAAAGGTATTCATTTCAACCCGTTACATACACTAACTAGTATGTATGCTCAGACATAGAAACCTATTGTTGGTCTTTCCGTTTTTTTGTCATACACCTATTAGAATCATTCGCTTTGTCAATGGTTGGATTTCAACACGGTTAGCAAAATTGTCAGCAGTGAGCCTCTAGCCAGGACTGAGCCAAAAATTCTTTTACATAAAATGGTCTAGATCTGGCCTCTCCAGTGTCCTGGAACACAGGCTTCATACGAGATATTCTGGCTTCACAGAGTATGCTGTTTGAGGTTGAGTGTGCATACATGTATTCAATTATTATTTAAATAGCAAAGCATGTTGGCGTTTCTGTAAAGGGGTTGTATATATCCAATTTGGGACCACCTATTTCTAGCGCTTTGTATGTTTCCAGCCTCCGATGCGCTGAAAATGCAAAATAGATGCAAATTTTGAAAACCAATGAATTTAATTATAAACTTGAAATTGCTTTTTCATCGGCGAACCACTTCAATAGACGCTCCTCGAATAAATTCCTGCAATGTAATTTTACTTATGCAAACTGTTCATATTGTGTCTTAATCTGCTTAAGAAAATTTCGCCAAGAACGCGGTCTATCTTGTAATTTCCAATTTGAATATTAACTACTACTAGATGTACTATTTTTCGTGAAGGCGTGAATACTTCAAAAATTAGTTTTTATAGAAATGGTTGACAATAATACAGTAAGTTTGAAACCTGGGAGGTGCAAATGTTTTTACTTAGACATCCTTTATGAAAAAAAGTTACACAAGAAGGATAGTAAATAGAACAGGAACGTAATCTATGATAAAGTTAAATAGGATAGTCAACAACAAATAACAAATCTTCGACTCCTTGATAATGTATATTTTCTTCTACAAGCACTGTACGTAGATGATATTTTCGCATTTTTTGGCAAAACAGTTGGTCCCCTAGAGGCCCTTGTGATGAAACTTAACGGTCAGTTTGTTACTATTCTTAAATGTTTTGGTTCCAAGGAACAGCGGAAGCAACATGGTTTTTGAGGATTATAGAAAAGATACAATGACTCAATCCACTGTATCCAATACAAAAGGGCTAGTTTTAGCTTTTTATTTCATATACTTATTAATTTCTCACCAAGTAAAGAAAAATTTCAACACAACAAGAAAATGATCAAAAACGTTTCCTAGGTAGTTTCGCTTATGATCGCGACATTATGGGAAAAATTAATAGGTAAACATAGCTTTAAGAAAACACTTTGGGACTCTACAACCTTCCAATCTGAAAGAGAGATGACGGCACACGTAGCAATACCTTTTAATACCAAATCTAACTGGACTAAAGATTTAGGACTCTAATGTTAAAGTCCGGCTGAGAAAGACGGAGACCAATTGGAGCCACTTTAAGAGTGTGGAATTTATGAAATCAGCTGTAGTGATTGTAATAAGTTTTACATCGGACAAACTAGGGAGACCTATTGGAAGAAGATCCAAAGAATACGTGACAGAATGGACAGATCTAGCGTAGTGGTATACATGTTGAGTATGGATCATAGTATAGATATAACTAATTTAAACATAGTCCGTGATGTTAGAAGCCTTAAAAAACTAGACTCATATGAAAGTTTAGAAACTGCCGAAACGCTAGGAAGAATGTAATGAGTAAGGACAAAGATCTTATTGTTTTCCTGTCAGCTGGAACAACTAGGTACCATGTTTGAGTGTAATAATTTCTTTATCGATTAGTGAGGGATTTTACGTAAACGAGCAAAAAAAATCATTAATGTATTTTAACAATTATACGGTCTACATTTGCAGTTTTTAGTGTTTTTCTCTGTTTTTGAGATTGTTTGTCCTGAAACACGATTTCATTGATTTTGTAATGAAGTTTGTACTTCACGAAGTATTCCTGAAGCACGCCCTGAAGAAAAAAATAAAGATTTTCGTCGCATGTCTGGATGGGTATTCTTAATACTCAACGTCTGATTGTTCCATGGTGTGTATGAACATAGAAATGACTAAAAAACAATGTTATCAGCGTTTTTCCTTAATCGTAACTTATGCATCTTTTTGTAAACCATGACCTGTTAGCGAATGACAGTGCTGCTCTAAAATGGTAAGTAACTGTTCCACTTTTATGGAAGGATGAAGCAGGTGATTACTTGTTTTCTTATCACTTTCATTCTTCAAACAATCTTTGCTGCTGCAATTTGCTATAAAATGAGGTTTCAAGGAAATCAAAGAAAAAGTGGTAATAGTAAATGTAACCACCCGATTTATTCTTACATAAAAGTGGAATATTCATGTGCAATTTCATAGCTGTACTAACATTTGTTAACAAGTTACAATTGAAGAAAAAATGCACAACAAAATGGGCATACAATGCATTTTTGAAAAAAAAAGTAATTGCTAACGCTGTTTTTTAGTCATCTCTATACACACCATGAAATAATCAGATGATTTAGAATACTGCTCCAGATAGACAGCTGAAGAAATGGTCATGAGGCCTCAGCTAGTCAGCTATGACTATGCTTCCCATCTCGTCCGCATGACAAATATATACTGGGTGCGCCATCTATTATTTTTCTTTACCTATAAGTTAATGTGTGACCATGTAAGTCAAAAGTCATGTGGTATGCATAAATGAAGTGGCAAAGGTCATGGATTCATTTACAACACAACAACGCATTTTGGTTATTCAAACTTATTACGAAAACGGTCGAAATATAAAAAATACTTTTCGCAAACTTCGCACTGGTTTTGGCCGACTTGGACGCCCTACAGAGCCTGGAATTCGTTGGATTGTTAATCGCTTTGAGGAAACTGGTTCAGCTGAAGGTCGTAGACCATACCAACATGCCCGTCCAGCTCGTACTCGTGAAAACATAGCCGCAGTGAGTGAAAGTGTGCGAGAAGATATAACCACCTCGACCAGGCACCGTTCGCAAAAATTGGGAATTTGTGAGACCACATTACGACGGATTTTACACATTGCTTTACACCTACAACCATACAAAATCCAACTAACACAAGAATTGAAGCTGGCAGACCATCAACAGCGGCGTGTTTTTGTTAATTGGATGCTGGAACGAGAAGACGGATTTTCGGCCAAAGTGTTCTTATCTGATAAGGCTCATTTTCACCTCAATGGGTACGTAAAGAAGCAAAATTGCAGATTCTGGGGGCTGAAAATCCACACCAATATCATGAACAACCCCTTCATCCTGAAAAAGTGACTGTCTGGTGCGGATTATGGGCTGGTGGCATCGTTGGACCATTCCTCTTTGAAGATGCCGAAGAAAGGGCCATTACCGTCAACGGGAAACGTAATCGCGGCATGTTAACATACTTTTTGTTTCCACAATTGGATCGTATTGGTGCCGGCGGTCTTTGGTTTCATCAAGACGGAGCAACGGCTCACACATCTCGCCAAACAATCGCCTTATTGCACACGAAATTTCAACACCGCATAATTTCACGAAATTCAGATGTCAGTTGGCTCCCGAGATCGTGCGATTTAACACCTCTTGACTATTTTCTTTGTAGATTTTTGATTGGAAAACTATATGCTAATAGTACTCGGACCATTCATGGCCTAAAGCGCAATATTCGGACTGAAATTGCGGCCATAGACCCGATTATTCTGGGAAAAGTAATTGAATATTTTGATGTTCGGATGTTGGCCTGTAAACGAAGAAGCGGTGGTCACATGAATGATGTTATTTTTCATGCATAAATGGCACAAACCAACCATCATTTATCAATAAACAAAATCGATTTCACCTCGTAAAAAGCGTGTAGATTTTTCAAATAGAAAAAAAAGTAACTGATGACGCACCCTGTATTAGCTTGTGTTTTTGTTGGGATTTTAGTTTTAATCTTTCTCTGAAGGTGTTATATTTAGAATTGAAAAAATGATTCGTTGAGTGATAAAAGCCTGTTATAGCTGTTGTGCTATTACAAGTAGTTACAAGGCATGTTCAGGGATATTATTTCACTACTCACACGGCCGTCTCGCAGTCCAGAACATAGTTGAATTTCTGCTCCACTATAGGATCAAATGACCCTTTTATCCCACTGCTGAACTGTTAACTGAAGTATTTGATTAAATTCTCTCCGTACGAGTATTCTCTTTAAAAAATGTCCCGAGAGACGTCCTGCGCTACTTTTCTGCTCGTTTATCTCAAACTACGCTCAGTTGAGAGACCAAAAGTACAGGGCACAACACCAAACTTATTATTTCCAATCTGTCTCTGTAACACGCAGAGGCGTGTCATTGGGTAACTTGGAAGATGTAGATGTAGATTGGCATACCATTTTGGGCGATCTCTACTAATTCAAAGGAAGTGTTTATGAAACGGAAAAGAATTATCAGATGTATAGTAGGTGTCAGTGCTAGAACGTCATGTAGAGATATGTTTAAGAGGTTTAAAGTACTAGCACTTACTGGTTTATATACAGTGAACTTGCTTTTCTTCCGGGATGGTCGGATGACCTTGGGGGCTTTTTGTTGTTTACACTACCAGTAGCTGTAAATTTAGATACAAGTTCCCTTAAATATTTTCTACAGATAGTACGGTTCGGGAAACGATCATTAAAAATCCTTTTGGTCTCGAGAAAGTTACGCGTCGCACCATAAATAAAAATCGCTTCCAATGGACGAGAATTGACCATTCTAAAAATAGCTCACACAGTTTCTAGCACCAAAACCGAAAACTAAATGAGAATATTTTAACTGTACAATGATGTTTGTTTTCGTACTGATATACTTCTAACAAAACAAGTTTTTATCGCTGTTGCTGTGGATACGGCAGGGAATTACAACAATTATTTGTAGAGATATGCATTTTACTGTTCAAGTAATTATTAAATGTACCACCATTTTGTAGTAGGTAAAGTTACTGACTTTATATTCTATGGTTATAAAGTACTCGTCAGGAGCTTCATAATGAACATTAAAGAAAAGCACTGTATACTAAAAATAAAGAAAAATTCCTAGAACACGGCCAAATGCATTCAATTAATTAATGAAGACTCCTATATACCACCCTGAGAACTCAAATTAAAGTCCAAAAATATTATTGGCCTACAAATTTTAAGCTAAGTACTGCCTTTGGAAACGAAAAATTGCCACAATCTGAACACATTTAAGAATCTCTTAAAATACTATTTAATTGAAAATAGCTTTCATCGTGTGGAAGGATTTTGCGATATATCCCGATAAATCTAATTTTTGACTATTTGACTGTCTTTTTGTTAGATATACGTTGTTAGGTTTAAGTTAAAAGTGTATGACGCTTTCTGTAGAATGTTCTTGTCGAGAGGAAATTAATAAACAAACAAATCCTCCGCTAAAAATTATCGACCAATAAGTCTCGTTGCTATCGCCGCCAAAATAGCTGAAAGAATCATATTAGATAAGCTCCTATCATTTGCTTTCGATAATGACCTTATCCCTAAGAATCAGCATGGATTTCTCCCTGGTCGATCAATAATGACCAACCTTCTCCACTCTCTCAACAATTGGACTCAGTATCTGGACACAAAGACTCCTGTTGATATAATCTACTTAGATTTTTCTAGGGCTTTCGATCGCGTACCACATAGAAGGCTTCTGTTTAAGTTGGAATGTATGAGAATAAGAGTCGAGTTGTTACTGTGAATCAAGGCTTTTCTCACCGGGAGGACTTTCTCTGTGCGCGTCAGTGATAGCCAGTCTCACCTTCATCATGTAGCAAGTGGAGTTCCTCAAGGCTCTGTCTTGGGGCCAGTGCTGTTCCTTCTGTATACAAATGACCTGCCCGCATTGATTTCCTCCACATGTTCAGCTTGTGCCGATGACACCAAGACTTACAATACTGTCGCAAATTCTGCTATGCTTCAACGAGATCTTGATATTGTTTGTCAATGGTCAGTCAGTTGGCTTTTACCCTTAAATCTAACTAAGTGTTGTGTCCTTCACCTCGGGAAGACAAATCCACGATTTACGTACAAGATCTCTGACCACAACATCGATGCAGTTTCCAGCCACACTGATCTGGGCTTTGTAGTCAACGATCGTCTTTCCTGGTCAGAGCATATTCACCACGTTACATCAAAAGCCAAGAAACTTCTATACATGCTGGAGAGGTCTTTCAAAGGATCCGATGTCAACACTTGCGCCTACATTTAGAATCGTGAGGCCAATTCTTGAATTCGCTGGCCCGGTATGGGACACTGTGCTTCTGCGCGATAGAAATCTCGTCGAATCAGTACAACTTCGGACTACTCGTATCCCTTTTGGAGCACGAAGACCAAGCTATGAAGATCGCCTTGAATTATTCAACCTGACCTCATTCTCTGAGCGAAGACTTCGTGGCGATCTTATAGTTACGTTCAGGATACTTCATGGTTTGATGGGCACCAACCTCATGCATCTATACCGTCCGTCGCGCAGCAATCTACGCGGACACAGCTTCAAACTGCATAAGGAGCCATTTAAAACAACAGTCCGACAGTGGTTTCTTCCCAACCGCATATTCAACACCTGGAATAGTTTACCTGAAAGTGTGGTTGGTGCTTCTTCAGTTAATAGCTTCAAAGTGCAGTATGATAGCTGGAGGAGTGTACAAACTTTATAGCTATGAACTGTCTTTTTTTATTTTTTTCTATTTGATGTATTTGTGTTACGTGTCCGTACACAATATTTACTGCATGAGCTTACAGTACTGTGTACTCTGCTCTTCTCAATTATCATAATAATAATAATAAAATAAATAAATAGAAGGTTTAAAAACCCGTTTACCATAATATAAACGGTAAGAGAATCTCGTTCCGATGATGGTCGATTTTTGCCAGAAAACTATTCCTTTTGGCTTGTCGGTTTAGATTATTGGAAAGATGGTTTGTCACGAACATGTCTGCTAAGAGGAAGGTGTTCCGCAGAGATCGGTTAGGGCTCCAACACATTAATGACACCCCCTCTTGCATGATGAATCCGATCTACAGCCTTCAGGACGACATTCCTCCTGATTCAGGAGCTTGAGATGAGAACATTGGTCGCAACGTTCCTTCGGACAAAACACATGGAGCTTACCAGTATCTTGTGATGTAGCAATTTGAAACAATTTAGTACAAAATACTATTTTAAATTCTTCTATGATACCTCGTAATTGCTTATCGAATGCATTATGTTGCGTTTGCAAATACAATTAAAAAGTGAAACAACGTATCGTATCTATCATAAAACTTAGATTCCAAATTGTTATTCTCTAACTACGACAACAACTTTTCCTTTAAAACAGTATCGACTTCACCTCGCAGAAAGAAAAGCCCAGGGAAAAGCCGTGAGGAAGGTCACACTATAAGTCGTAAAAGCAGAATGTGCACCATTCCGTTTTGACTCTCCGTAAAATCTTGAGCCAATTTTTACAATAGGGTCATATAGGGACACAAAGAGCCGTGTCCTACAATAAAGTGTCTGCTGGACATGGTTTACGGTGAAAGGACAAACTTCAAGGGCAGTTACTTTGCGGAAAGTATGCTCTATATATTTTGTAGCTGACAGCTAGGGTAATCGTAGGGCTGTAGCTCCAAAGGGCCGATAAGGAAATTTAAACAGAAGATTTCCTTAGTTTAGAGTCTTTTAGTTGATTTTTCGTCAAACAGTTTTTTCCACTGTGTTCTAACAATGAGCGGAAGCAGTTCCAAGCAACGGCGTGCTATCAGGTTCTGCTTCCGATTTGAGCACAGTGTAACGTAAACTCTGGCTAAACAGGCCTACGCAGATAGAGTTTTATCAAAAGTTCAGGTTTTTCCGTGGTTTCAGAAAGCGAAAGTATCAATTGAAGATGAACCACGAAGCCGAAAGCCTTCATCTTCAAGAACAGATGAAAATATCGACGGAATCTTGCGCATTCAGATCGTCGGTACAGTTTAACATTTTCACTGCGTTGGCTAAAAACCTAAGTTGGCCTGATATGCGTCACGGGGCAAACTTGACTCTTACTGAGTTGGCCCGACATGCGTTACGGGTGAAACATACCTCTTAGTTAATAATAAAGTTTTTTTTTTGGTAAAATAAAAGCTTATTTAAAGGAATAACCACACAGTAATAATTATAAAAGTTCCTTTAACCTAAAACAGAGCCACGAAAAACTAAAGTTAAATAATAGTATTTTTACGATAGAAAAAAGTAAAATATGTATTTTTGCAATAATATTAAAAACACTTTCTTTTATATTAAACTAAGGGCCAACCAACATCATTATTATGGACCAATAGGAAAATACCTTATCGAAATGCAATTTGACGGAAGCTGTCAAAGGTCTCAGAATATCAGTGATTTCTATCAAAATGTTGAATAAAATCGTGGAAATTCGACTGCATTATAAACAACAACTTTTTGATTCCAACATGATGCTTTTGTACAGAAAAAACAGGACAACTTTCATGTATTTTGATATATGTTATAGGTTTACATTTAACAATCCGTTATCCCCCTCAGTGAATGGGAATGGGAGAAATAATAGGTCGATTTTCTAGCTGTTAAATTTGGTAGCAGGTTTGGTCGTTTGTTAATTCATGGCAATCTTGAAATTTGTTAAGTTCAATATACAGTGTGTATATGTGATCATTATAGCTACGCATACCTGTTGGATTGTGCGGATTTGCAAGAAAATAGAAGGTGCATAATGCAATTACTGTAGACATAGACCTAAGATTATTAGTAATTACTGAAAAATAATGTCGGGCTCATGCACGACTTAACGTAACCGAATTTAAGGATCAGCTGTTCCTACACCAGTGTCCTCCACATGTTATGCCGCCAGATGGTAACTAATGTGTATCTAACGAAGCTACAAAGTAATCGTAAACAGCGGTTGATTCGTGATCAACGCGTGATCGGTAGCCATGGCGCTCTGTCGGCCTCTTCCTGATTGGCTTGTAGCGACGAGCCTCCAGACAAAGTCGCACGGTTGCCACGCTCGGCGAGTTTTCGCCAGAGTGGTTGATCACATTCGCATGGATCACAAATCAATCTGTTGGTGCAATACGTGCAATAACTCTTGTAAAGGACATTATATAACAATAAATGGCATCACAAAGGTATATTCCAATTTGATCTGCAGCAAATTATGAACGGCATATACGGAGATGCGAAAGCAAGCTCAAAAAGGTGAAGAAAATTTTTGTGCACTCTTTATAGTTAAACTTTTCCTAAGAGATAGCATCAGTGAGGGAATTTTTTTCTATTGTCTTATTTTTCACATTAATGCGATGTCGAGGTATGTGGCCCTACCGCAATTGAAAATAAGGTTTCGATAATCCTTCCATAAAGTTTCGATGAGTACATCTGAAATAACCTTGAGATATTCTTCAGGGAAATACAAAAATCTCCTTTTATGTTTTTTTGTGCAGATTTATCTATTAAAATCCTATCCGCAATCTATTTTCCGTGCACACACCTTCAACCGAATGTATGCCATATATGATATTACCGTTTCCAACTTTCACCAAGGTTAATAGGAACCATAACAGCTCCCTACCCTTCCCCCCTATAAGAATATCGATTTGTAGCCTCACATTTCAAGGTTAGACTTCTTGTAATGTTTCTGTTCAACATTCGGCGATTTCTGACAATTTTCCCAATAAAACATGATCATTGTGACATTAAGCCTGGCAACGCTGCATAGTAGAGGGAACTCTCAGCGTCACGTTGA